CTAGCAGTTGGTTAGCTTAGTTCAGCACAAAGACTGGAAACAGGGAAAATACCTAGCCTGGCTCTGTCCAATTTCCCAACTAGCTCATTAATGAACACATTGTATCTTGTTTGTTTAACCTGTACAGTGTACAGTGTAAAAATATCCCAATGTGGTTTTACAGGGCATGTTGTGTGCTGAACCTCATAAGACTTTGAACACATGACCAGACTATTTCTTGGCCTGGGCATGGTATCCACCTTCTCATCTAACCCTCAGCACGAAAGCAAAGAAGCGCATTTCGGAAAAAATATCATTATTCTTTTAAGGCCTTATGGCCAAAAAATAATTAAATTACCTTTAAAGAGTTTTCTTTAACCTAAGATATATGAGCATTGTCTCAATCCACAAAAAAAATATGGAGATACATTGTTTTCACTGGTCATTAACAGCATGTTAGCCTCAGATCAAGAGTGATATTGTCTTCCAGACATGTAGTAAGACATATATACAAATAGTCTGCTTGGAGCAATAGTGGGTCTTTTTTCCACAAAAAATGTATAATTTCCATTAAAATCGTTAAAAATGTATCTTCTGCCTAATGAAATGAATATGCTAATTTTGTACTAAAAGTACAAAGAAATTTGTCTCCTGCATCACTGTAAAGTTTATTCTCAGTGTATGTGTGCAAGTTTCCACATCACACTTATATGAGTTACATACTGGATGAGGATTGTCTTCCAAACTATTTGTGATGTCATAAATAATGCTTGTAGGCCCTGCCACTTAAAAACGGATTTCTAATTGGCATAAAAAAACTTTCAGCAGGTGAATGTGAGAAAAGTCCTTCTAGTGTCAATGTCTGTACATATATTATTCTGCATAGCAAAGCTTTAACATCCAGACGTAGGAACAAAAAGAAAATATTTTTGAGTGGAGGGGGAAATATTTGTAAAGGTCCATAGATTTTTTTTTATATATCACAGAAAAATAAACAATGGAGAAAAATCTAAAAAGTAAAGGGATTTTTTTTCTGTCACAACCTTGATCTTATTATAGAATATCTTGTAAATGATCTTGCAAATCTGTTGGAGAGGGGTCCCGAGTTTAAGGGTTGGAACCTCTGGTCTAGGACAGCACAATGCACTTGTAAAGTAAAAAGGAATGATTCCCTGCCTAAAGCCAAAAATCTGAGCACTACGACTGGAAGTTATGGACTCAACAAGATGTAATATGGGGCTCTGCTCCACAGATCATGAGGCACACAAAGACAAACTCATTTTATGGATCTGCAGAATGGAGAGGGCTTGTTGGAGTCTAAACCCAGAGATGATTTATTCCATAATGGTATGCTGAATCACTGACTGTACTCCCCGCTGGAGCACTTACAGAAGATTCATTCCCTGTGAGACAGCTCTGGTATTTCTCTGTCTGTCTTATTCAGAGCTGTTCAGAGGTCCACTTATTTTCTGTTGCTGTTTATTTCTTGTTTCATTAAATTTATATGGCTAATAAGGAAAAGGAAGTGGAATCATTTCAGCATCACTCATGTGACTTGGTGACTCAACAGCAGGAAGTCAGTGATAAAGAGTGGATGGCCAAAAAGGTTTAGTCTTCTGTGAACAAAGGCATTTTTTTGCCATTGATTGTGAGCTCCTGTCATCATTAGACAACATAATTAGGATAACACACTGATGCTTCGGAATGCCATGGTTAAGAAACCCTGTGTGAGTGAGAAGTGGAGCAATGGGGGAGATTGTGGCACGACTACAAAGAGAGAAGACTTAAGAGGATGAAATCTAGGTCTTTCGTGATTGCATGAGTGTGTCATGCGTGAACAGGAACATTGTGTGTGAAGGGGGTGCATTCCTCTTACGTTTGTTTAATTTCAGGTTGATCCTGCAGTGTTCGGCTCCAACAGCATTGTTCACCTCACAAAGGTAGATTCCTGCAAAGCTCTGCGAGTGGTTGGTGATTTTCAGCTCCCCAGTCACGCTGTCTGAGAGAACACACACCCACACAACGCAGATTAACACATGTTGGCTACATATGCTGTACATTCAGCATCTTGAAAATAGGGATGCTAGCAGGTTTCTCTACAAGCAGAAAGTGATGCATACTTAGGGCTCACAAATTATCACTTAAAAATATGATGATTTTTAAAAAGGACACCTGCTCACAGATTTTCACCCGTTATGTCTGCTTGCAGCCAAAACTTCTTGTGAAACTTCTCACTGATCAATGCAGTTTACAGTAAACTATTTTGAGAACATTTTAGGGAATGTTTTGTGTTGAAAAGTGAGTGAAAAGAAATTAGAGAGAAAATGCAAATGATCTGCTAGTTATACACCCTCTAAGAGTCCCTGAAAGTAAGTAAACACTAAGCTACAAGGTGTTGTGCTGCACATCATTATCTTTTCATCAGGTTTTTACCTTGATGTTCGATCATTTTCACATAATTTTAAAAATCTGAATAAACACTGATACATTATTAGACTCCCTCATCTTGAAAATTAAAAACCAAAATAATAAGCATGTACTGTATATTCAACAAAAAAAGGTTTTTACTAAGTTTTGCTTACACAGAATTAATAACATAAAGAATAATTACATTCTTTTGTTACTATTTTTGTGGGGAATATCAGTGACATAATGCATTCCCTAGCCCCTTTACCCTAACCTGAACCATCATTTTAACCCTAAACAGCCCTTTAAACTTGTAGTATCCAGCATTTTGGTTCCCACAAAGCAGTCAGACACCACAAGTATAGTGGGCTTGCAGCTATTGGACCCCACAAATACAATAAAACAAGCCAACACACACACACACACACACACACACATGCACACACACACACACATTCTCTTTGATGTGTAGTAGCATCATGACGTCAGCAGAGGTCACGCTTACTCTGTGTGGCTGGAGCAGGCATGGGGCGTGCACTTTCTCTCCTCCATGTGTATTTCAAAGGAGTGGAGCCTTTTGCAGACTGGCAGTGCAGCGACACAGCTTCGCCGACCAGCTCCCCTCCCTCCACCCAGCATTTAGGCACAGACGGCTTCACTGAAATCATACAACAAATGGATAATTTCACGCTGCCACTTCCATTCCAATTCTTGAAAAAACAGTACAGCTTTATGGCTTTAGGATGAAATGGGAGGAACCATTTTGATTCTGGCTTGCAGATTCACACATTAGATGTGTTTATACAAACATTATTTAAAAATCCAATTAAATATATGATGCCTTCATTACACATTATAAATATATATTTGAACATCAAAATCTATCGTAATCGTAATGGAATGTATGCTTAAAATTGACATGGCGAGCATGGAGTAGTGTCCTGTGTTTAAAAGGTGAAGGATATGAATTGGCTGCAATTAAGGCTCGATTGATTATGTTACAATAGGGTAATTTGAACAACAACATTTCACACACTTAAGTGCATTCTTCTGCATGTGCACAATAAAATGAGGAATGTCAAGTAATTCATTCATACATTTTCTAAGCCACATCCCTGATCTGGATCATACGAAGAACATGATCTATTAAATGACTTGTTAGCTCTCAGGACTGTCTGTTGTGCTGTTAGCATGAAAGGCATGAAAGCACTTAGGCTGTCTATTGATGTGTGAGGCTTTGCTATTGATATTTATGATCCAATCTGCTTGTTTTCAGCAAAGGGGAGGTGATTTCAGCTGAGAGAGCTTTTATACCAAGAGTGTGAATGTGAAGACCTGAGAAATACAGTTCATTTAAGCTGCTGCATGGACTATGCAAATGTTTCTTGTAGATGATGGTGAAATAAATAATGAAAAATAAGAAAATTATATTGTATTTTGTGTTAATATATGTTACAAGTATGATGGGTTTTGCCTCTGCTCTGTCCTGTGTCCTGTTCCAGGTACCACCCTCCCCTCCAACTGGTCAGGCACACCTGTAGTAGTTTTAGCAATCATGCCGATTGCTTTAAAACAAAGACGACGGAATCAGCAAGGCCAGTGGGCCAAACCGCCAGATGTGTGCTGTATTTTGGTTGTGAAGCAGAGCCGTGTGGTGCTGTGTGTCGTGTGCTATTTTTATCACTCCCTCATTGGAGGGAGAGCGATATTCATATTTATTTGTTGGACCAGTGGTTTGTTTGTTGTAGTTCATGTATTTTGTTAAAATGGTTGTCACTTTGTATTTTTAAGGAAGTCGCTTTATGTTGAACTCCTCTTTTTTGATGTTTATATAAATAGTTTGTCAGTACAAATCATTCTGTTTTCACTCTTTCTTTAACACTCTGTAATTATTAATTATTAATTGTTGCGCCTCTTTACCCCTGGATCTCACAACTGTATATAATACAGTATTCTGTTGAAAATCCTGATAAATAAATCTCCCAATGAGTGACATACTCCACTCCACTTTCTGCTCTGCTCATACTTTTCAGACAAGATGAGTTGGACTGGAATCAAGTAAATTACTTTAACCCTCTAGCACATTTTAAGACTGAATACACTGACAAATGGCTTCAGGTGTGATCTCAGGCTTTTTTTAGTCTCTCATCAACTGCTCAATCTGTATCTATCAGTTCTTCATAAACTTCTTCCTTCAGTTAATTCTTTTAGTCCCAGTGGTCAAACTGTGACCATAACTATCTCTATCAATGCAGCTGTCTGTTTGCTCCATCAGCAGATGAAGCCAACTCCATGTGCTGATGAAGACTGTGAAAATTGTAGTTTTGGGTGTTATGTGAGGACATGAATTTTACTTCTTGTAGCAAAAAAAAAGAAGAAAAAGTTTAAATGAATTTATGGAGCAATTTCTCACTGAATAAAACATATTTCTTTTACAGAACAAAACCTGACTGGTAAAAAGACACTGAAAAAGCAATTTTTACTGATTTCCATGAGCCCTTTAACAAAACTAACCTCTACAAAGCACTTAAAGGGCTGGAAATAACAACTTACTCACCTTGCTGTACTAAAGTTTTTTCAAGTCATTATACATGTAAGTCTACGTATTTTTCTTTCTTTTCTTTTTCTTACTTCACTACAATTCAATTCAGTTACAGAGTAAAAAAGTTCACATGAAAATTTATGATGAACCATGTGAGGATGGAACAAAAGAGAATCGCCACATCAGTAGCTGCAGCAAAAAAGGAGTTGCTGCTTTTATAGTCCCTGCTGAGCACTCATTCAGCTCAAAAGTTTTTGAAAACTTTAAGGACTGCAGTGGGATAAGAGAGGTTGACAGAGGTTATATTAAGCATAGTGTGAATGAACTGGAAGAGATGAAAGTTGTAACCTAGAGCAGATCTTGGTACCGTGTGGTGCACAAAACTCACTAATGGATGTAAGTCACTCCTGAAGACAGGACATCAACAACCACTGCGTTGCCTAGCAATGCTGCATTATGTGTGTGTGGTCTATGCAGTGCAGTGTATGCAGACTGTCTTTTGGCTTTAATGTGTGTGTTTGTGGCTTGTAGCTGCCAACGAGTTTATATTGTTTATACATCTCTGTGTTATCTGCCTTGGTGATGCATTATTCTGCCTTTAAAGTGGCATGTTCTTTAATTTATGTAGTCTAGTCTTACTCTGCAATACTGTCCCACTACATGCTAATGCACTTTAGCCTAATATTTATATCATATAACATTATCATCATCATCAGAGTACATTTTAACTGACCTACTTTTTACTTTTATCTGAATGCATTTTCACACAAATAATTTTTATTTTACTTTAAGAACTGTATTTTTACTTGAGCAAAAGACTCTGGCACTCTTCACTTATGGATACAGAGAATGGAATTATTGTAGTAATGTTGCAGTCAATTTTCTTGTTGCAAATTGTGTAATGCATACTGGTATGTGACAAGGAAATGTGACCTTCTTCAGTAAAATACACATCCCACAATATTAAGAGTGAATATGTGCAGCTTGCTTCTCCTTAAAACCAAACAGTACCGTAGTTGTCAGAGTTGATAGACATAAATAATGTAGCTAGGTGACGTGTTAACCCCAGGATGCAACCCAATGCCCAGTCTTACCCATTACCACCAGTGACACCTTGCGCATGTCCACTCCAGGAGATTTCTTCACTTTACACTGGTAGGTAGCACTATGAGCAGGCGACAGCAGAGAGATTGAGAGTGAAGCATCACCCATTGAAGGGTCACGAGCAGCAAAGCTGAGGCCTTTTGCAAGCGCGTGGTTGCTGTGGACATATTTAGTGCCACTGGTATAGGACATGAGCTGATGGAAAACAAAACACAAACAACACTCTGAGTGACACTTTTAATTTATGTTAACTGACTAAATGTGTATTCAACAATTTTTTCCCTATCAATATTAAATGAAACATTTGTGAGTTCATCTGTCCCCTAGTGGCCAAACATTGATAAAGACAGCTTTAAGTTTGCAGTGGATAAATATTTAGATCAACTTTGAACGAAGAGCTGGTAAGGACTGTACTGTTTAAGTGTGCAATATAAAACATTTAACTTGCACATTAATCAATAATTTGTACTGATCACTTGTCTAAAGCAGCACATAATTGCCCTGGTCAATCCTTTTATTTACTGTGATCAAATATTTGCTGCCTACGGGCAGAGATTAGCAAAAACACATCCTTACATGTGTCCAACACTAATGACTCATTTAATTTGAAAAGCAAATGGGATAAACAACTAATTTCTGTGAAATTAAAAAGGTGGTAGGAGTTCATCCAAACTTCAGTCTCTCTCTCAGACCCTACATATGTGTATTTACATATTTACAATATTTGCACCATTATCACTCTACTTCTTACCATCTGGTCTTTCTGCGTGGTGTCTGGACTGACCACAGACCATTCAATGTCAAGCTCTCCGCTGTCAGAAGGGCTCGGTGTGTAACTGCAGCCCAAAGTCACATTCTCTCCCTCAGCCTTCTGGATAGTCTGTGGACCTGTGGACGTCACCTCCATCCCGAGAGTATATTTCAGTTCTATAGAAATTCATACAAGTCTTGAAATTAATTACAGACACATAATAGCTGTTTCATAATTCCTTATTGTAATCCTGAAGGATAAATATTATGTGCTGTCATTCAGCAGAGCCGTTTTGCACAGTAGCTGAGTCAGAGTTCATGTCTTCCATGCACACATTTTTATGGATACATTTAATATCTGTTCATTATTTAAAGGAGGAGGCCTGGCTAAAAAATAAACAAAAACACAAAGACAATAGTTTAAATCAAATGCCACACAGGAATAAAAAATGGCTTGAGGAGGGAGTACAATTAAATATCAATTTGCCTGATTCTGTTTGGATTATAGAGACACATGAAAAGTCTTGAGACAAAACACATAATATGAAAACTGGAATTAGACTCAAATTGGCTTTCAAAGGGATATAAAAGGATATCACTGTAGTCTTTGAAAAATTGCCAAATGTCCTTTTTTTAAACTAGATGTGTATATAAGATCTGCAGTCTAAGAGCCCCACCCTGAAGAAAAAAACAAGCTAACATATAAACTCAAATCCAAACAACATGAGGGAGTCAACAACTGTCTGGAGGCATAATCTCAAAGCCTGATTGGACAGACAGTGAGCGCCATGGTAACACGTGGTGAAGCTTACACCACTGAGGCCTTCAGCTCAGCGGTGTTCAACAGAGACATGGAGGTCCAGATGAAAAGATGCTTCATTCAATACCTTGCACTAACAATATAGTGTAGTAGCAGCTCTCTGTGCCTGTATGTGTGCGCTTGTCTTTATGTGCTTGTATGTCTGTACTTACCTGTGCTCAAGAGACTCGCCACGCATAACAAGAAGGCAGACAACCAGGGTGGGGAGCTGAGGAAGAAAGCTGACCTCAAACGACTGCAGCTTTGTCTGAACATAGCGGCCCTGTTAAAAATCATTAAGAGCAAGTGGTCAAAATGACTGAGATTCAAACAGACAGGCAGCACAGTGTCTTAACATGTATAATATATGCGAGTGAAATTGGTTTTCTCAATTGTTAAGAACTGCGTGCTTAGAGAAAAAATAAGGAGAAATGACAAAAGTTTATATTGATATTACCTGCATGCAGATACTACATCCAAACGTCTGGTAATAGAATACATAGGAATAAGCAGCAGGCTGCCTGATCCTCTTGCTTTGCAGGGAGCTCCTCCTTTACTTCCTTCTCATTACCATGAATCCTTCCGATTGGATAGTTGCTCCACCTGTTTTACCTGTTTACCAAGAGGTTTCCTCTGTATTGTTATTTAGCTGTTAACATTACCCTTAACGGCAAATTATTAAGTATCTGTAAGTATGAAAACCAAAGATAACAAAATGATGTAAAATAAGATTTCAGTCAAATTAAATAAAACCAATGGAAATGTGTTTAAGGAAATGAGTGGCTTGGCAGCTGAATAATAAGACACAGACCTTTGGTAAACAATTGAAACTAGGGACCGACCATACAATATTCCAGGGTTTCTACTGATGAGGTGGTTGGAAACTCAAGGTGCTAATTTGTGTGTACTGAAACCAAACCAACTGTGACACAATGCTGCTTTGTCCACAGCAATTAATGCTTGAATTCCTTTCACACGTTTCCATCAGTCACTAACTTTTCATTTATTTGGATAAAAAGCAAACAAAATAAATAAATAAAAGTTCAAAACTTTAAACTTGAAATAAAAGAAGAAAAAAAATCATCTGCCTCCACCTGCACAAGGAAACACACAGCTATTGTACACTGCCCTCTCATTTGTTGCATACACAATAGACCATACACCACTTTAGCATGTCTCATTTGTCAGATGTCCGTGGTTTCAAATAATAAGGAAGACAAAGAGAGCATGCAAGGGCTCAAGTGACAAGGAACTGGTTGTTCAGCAACTTTTATTTATAGCCACCAGCTGCTAAAGTAGACTTGTCAGACACAGAGCCAGATCCATCTAAAAACCAGCTAAACTCCTCTCTGACCCCCACACACCCACTCTTTTTAAGATTTGAGCGGCTTAGTTCATATAAACAACTACTTTCAAGATAGCTTATGTCCATTATGGTAGGGAGCTGGGAGCAAGTGAGCTAAGTGAAGAGTGAATATTATTATATATTATTATCAGATGCACAGAAACATGACTGCAAATTAATGCTAATGTTGCTTCATGTCTGCTGGACGCACAAACAAGCAGTTGTTTGCTCTAGGTATTTTACCAACTTTGAATCAAATGCAAAACAGAACAGGTCATTGGGACACATTATGTTACAACTGTGAGTAGGTATGTGACATACCTACTCACAGTTGTAACTGTTACTGTTCATTACTGAGTTAGCAAGCTCACCAGCTCCAAATGATAATTAAAACACACAAGACCACACAGTTATCATCACCATTAAATAAAAAAACACAAATGTGTGTAAACATTGTACAACATGAGTTTTTGGCCTCGCCTTAGTAGTTGGACTCCATACACACCTACATGCCAAGTTTGGCTCCTCTGGGACTAATGTTTCTTGAGCTAGAAAACAGCTTTAATGGAGAAAAATAAACAAAGACTCAAGAAAACAGGCAATCCAAGTGAATACAGCAGGGAGTTTCACTGCTTGGATATATGAGTCCTGGAAAAAATTTACATATAACTCTTACTTGTTTCACCAACCCTTGCTGGCGTGCTTTTTATGTAACTGTGTTATAATTTTTGTGTTTGTGTTTCTGTGTTTCCGTGTTTATAATATCTCAATACCACTTTTTCAAATGAAGTTCAGCTATTCTTCGGATCTGAATGTCCTTGTCGTTTTGGAAGATTTCTTTGATTGGAAGAAAAAAAACTAGCCAAGTGAAACTCAAGGTGCTAGTTCTCACAACACAGACCACAGAATCTGCAGAATACACTGTCACGCCCCTGACCTGACTAACGTTACTGTTTGTTTGTTTGGCATACACAGTTTCGCTTTGGTGCCACATGTTTGATATTTTACTTTATTATATGATTTCTTTTAAATTATTTAAAGCAGTTTGCAAAAATTACATATATTAATATTATTAAATTATATACTTACAAATATATCTGTAGAAATGAGACCAAAAAACAGAAAATATATCTGAGTAAATAAGAGTATTATGACTCAACATTTACATTCACTTGGTTGATTTCTTTTGTTTCACTCTAATGAGTTCAAAAGCTTCATTTTGTAGGCAAATGTTTTCCATTTCATACATTTTAATCTGTTTGCCCATTCTCCTGTGGAAGGTGCATTCTCACTGAGCCAATGTAATACAATTCCTCAAAAGAATATTTAATAAGGATGAATGTCTATAATCTTTAGGGATTACTCCCCATACTGCAGCATTAGGATTCATTTGCAGGGATATCTGCAGAGCACCATTTATAAAAAAGACTTCGGTCCAGAAGTCCATCAACTTGGTACACAACCAAAAGACAACTAGTAATTTGTAGGTTATTCTCCTTCCTCCAGCAGTCTCCCGCCAGTACTGGATTTCTTTTTACCATTTAGTATGTGGTAAAAAAAAACATTTTCCATTGGGTTAAGGTTTTTCCATGTGGTAAATTTCAATATGTTCTCCAAGCTCAGGCAACTATTTATTTTTAATTTCCACAGTACTGTATTGTGCCTTCTTATCAAAAACAGGTCTGCAGCCTCTTGTGCATCAATCTGAAGGGCTTTGGCATCAAAATGGTTGAGAACCACTGAATTACTTATTATTATGATGTCCTATTCAGAGTTAGTCAATAAAAAAAAAATACTTATTTAAAATACTGAAAAACAAATTTTTATTTTTAGATAGTTAGAGTTGGGTTATTTGGCACATATTGCTTCTTTCAGGCTTGTCTTGGAGCTGAAGTTGTTAAAAAGACCACATGGTCCAGTATGACTTTCAGTTCAGACTAACGTGACTCACATTAAGTCATTAACACCTTTGACAGCATACTAACTTATAATTACATAAAATTAACACTCTGGTATTACACACCTATTGCTTGTTAACAGAATAACTAAATTACTATGACTATGTGTTACAAGACAAGTCAAGTGTTAATTCTGAAGACACCTCTACTGTTCAAAAGCCTTTTTCCGGCTTCCTTTATTGCTGGGATTTGTACAGCCCAGTCTCTGCCAAGTAGGTCACACACTCAACAGTTACTCACAGTTCCAAAGTGCACTGTTACGAAAGCAGCCCAGGCTTTGCAAGATAACCTAATTGATACGGAGAAGAAAAGGGAATACAAGTTGGATTTCTGTTCCTGATTCCACTGTTTACCAGTACACGCTAAGTTGGCACAAAAAACATAGTCACTTGAGCTTGACTATGACTGCAGAAATATGGGACGTTATTATTGTTGGCGCTGGACTGTCTGGACTGAGTGCAGCTCATTTGCTCAAAAAAAGGAATGCCAAGTTGAGAATACTGATAGTGGAAGGAAAAGGTTTGTAAAAGTGTATCATTAGTAAAAGCTATTGGTAACTTTAAGTGGTGAGTCATTTTATACTGAATGCTTTCAGTTGTGTAATTGCTGAAAAGAGGCATTGCTCTAAGTTGTGTCTGGTGTTGCCATGCAGATCGGGTGGGAGGTCGCACACTGTCTACTGAAATACCGGCAGCCAATGGTGTTGATCGCTGGGACTTTGGAGGACAGTGGGTCGGAAGGTAATGTTCAAAGTCAAAAACTACAAGAATAACAAAGTAGTAACATTTCAAGGGTAAATCCAGTTGAAACCACATGGCTATTTATGTTTCTGGTGTTTGATTATGTATGTTTCTAGGAACAGAAACAGTGGAATATTTTGCTCCTGACAGGAATTTGTTGTTTTGTTTACTGAAAGCCATTTAGTGGATATTGAACTTGCAGCAGAGTTGCACTGAACATATGGCAAAGCAAGCAATCTAAAGCAGTGATTTTGAAGTTAGCTGCTAGTATGCAGTTCAAAGTCAGTCAGACATTTCACCAGTTCATTATGGAGTCAAAGGAAACACTGAAGATGAACTTCATTATTAAATCATTAGGGCTTGTAAAGTCAGAACAGGCAGAAAATCTGACCTCAGTTAGAAAAACGACCTTTATCCGCATTATAATTGTTATAAATTTACTTTTTGATGGACACCTGGTGGTTAGCACTGTCACCTGACAGCAAGAGGGTTCTGGGTTTGAACCTGCCGACTGAATGTGATGCACTTGGAGACATAGGCTGGGGATTTTGAGTTTCAAGAATAATGATGTCAATCACGAACAATTAAGGTTCCAATAATTGTCCATTTATCAGACAATCTTTGAATAAGATTACTTCAAGAAAAACAAAAGATTTCTAATGACTCATAGTGACTCATCATGGCTGATACAAGGTTTATATAATTTATAGTGGAAAGAATAGAATGTGGATGTGTATTGTTCAGTGTTGTGTTTGTAGGCTGGTATTGTGCTGAAAAGGCCATTGATTGCAATGTGTATGCTGCACCACTGCTGATTATATTACAAACTAGTCCTGCAACTTGTTTTACTATATTTTGTTGTATGTATAGGTGTGCATATATGTGCATGTATGTCATATTTTCATTATTGTTTAATTTATATTATGACATTATACATTTTTATTCCTGTGCACCCCAGGGAGAGCAGCTGTTGCGCTGGGAACAGGCAATGGAAATCCAAATAAATAAGCAAATAAACACTACAGATTATGTCAGCTATATAGAAAATAACATTTCTTTTTATCTTTTTTTTCAGAACTTAACACGTGTTCAGGCTCACTTGTTTTTCAAGGTTCTTGTCTTTATCAGCCCTTTCAATATGTTTAGTTTCAATATTTCATGAACAGCTCCTTGCTCTTCAATCTTCCAACCTTGAAGTAAACCATGAGATACCAACTACCAACCAATCTCAATAACTCATTCAAAGTACCATGAATGTTTTTTTCAGTCAGGATTAAGACCGCTGCACAGCACAGACTGACATAGCAGCAGTTATGATTATGTATCATCTAAAAGTGTAAAAACCCTACAGCAAATCCTCAAATACTGTAAACATAAGCATCAAATAAATGGCTTCCCTTTTCTTTCAGCACCCAAACACATATCTTGGAGCTCATAAAAGAGCTGGGCTTCGAGACCTTCCCGCAATTCAGTGTTGGAAAGAAGGTGCACCACATGGGCGGACCAGGTGCCAAAGTTCGCACCTACAGAACCAGTATCCCTGCTCTATCCCCACTGGTGCTAATGGACATCACCCAGCTCCTTTGGAAGGTGAGGGAACAGACTTACACAACAGTATTCTGTACTTAGGACTATGTTAAGGATAAGGTAGATAACCATAACTCTCAGTGGACAAATATGATACTTACAGTTGAGTAGTGGTTTAATTAATTTCTTGTTGACTTTTTCGTATAGAAAAACATACGATTCAGATCTTAAAACCATACATTTTCATAATCATCTTTATTGTCCAATATCCTTACCATGCTGGGAATTGATAAGAAGTCCCAAATGGATGTGGTAATGGTATTTGTAACATTTGTAATGCAGTGTACTTTTGGATTGGTAGGTCAAGAGTATATTTATCACACTAACTAAAAATGTCCTGCCCAGAATAAATGGTTAGGGTAGCAGTGAGAAGTAGAAAGTGTGGGGGAAAAAAAACCAAGTAGAATCATATTTGGCAGTCTCCAACTATTTTATTGTATCAATGGGATGCTATGGTTCACAGTGGTAAATCATGATGTGTGGGTGTGTTGTGTTGGCTGTATTTTCCCCCATCAGATTGACAGATTGTGTGCCACAGTATGTGTGCACGATCCTTCGAGGACCCCCAACGCTTTTGAACTGGACAGTATGACCCTGCACTCATACATTGAGCAACATGCCTGGACTGCAGGTTAAGACTACCTCCTCTATCTTAACCAATAAAGCATACTGAGTTCCTACTTTGTGTTGGTTGTGCACACAGTTGGTGATTTATGGTGACGATAATAAAGACATTTGAGTATAACTTACTATTTAGATGCTTTAATAAAATCATTAGTGACAGAATTGTATAAAAATACTTTGAGACTAATAGCTCTGGTGTAATTCTCATTCATTGTAAAAAATAAATAATAATAAATAAGATGAATGAAGTTTAAAGTTCCAGTGTGTAACATTTGGGAGGCTCTACTGGCAGAAATGAAGTGTATTATTTGTAACTATGTTTTCAAAAGTTTGTCTCTGGTCCTTAGCAGTCATGGTAAATTGAAAATGATAGTAGCTCCTTCAGTAGCGGTTGCCAACAAGCTCACAATGCAGCAGGTATAATGTTGGTCAACATCTTAGCTCAGAGTGGTAGCATGCTCACGTTTGCTAAAGTGCAAATGAGCACTAAACACCAGCTGAGGCTTATGGGAATGCTCTTGATTTTTCAGGTATTTGGTCGTAAACTCAAGTATTGGATACATTGAAAATTTGACCTAATGATGGCACTATGAAAGGTCGGGATTGACATGACAAGTAACAAATAATGGCATCTACTGTACGTTTGACTACAGATTTAATTTGATTATAGAAAAGTCCTCATCATCATCTCAGGTGTTTCTTGAACGATGCTCTATACTTCATGCAGCAGACGAAATTGCAGACTTTTTACAATGCAATGTAGAATAGTGGTTAGCGATATAATGGGATAGAACTTTGCAGAACACTGTCATTGCAGGGAAATGCATATTATTATTGAATGTGTGAGAGCTTAAGTATGTATTCAATCATCCCCTTCTGCCAGAGCTCAAAGAGGAGTTGGGACTGTGTAGCAGGTCTGTCTTTGGCATGGAGCCATCCCAGATGTCCTTCCTATTCTTCCTCATGTATGCGGCAGCAGCTGGAGGGCTACTACCGCTGCTGGAGAGCACTCCAGGTTCCGCTCAGGAGTTCAAGATAAAGGTACACAGCACATATCCTTCCCCGGAGTGCATATTGTTGACTTAAGTGCCTTTTTTAAAACTGCAGAACATTTGTTCTCTACTTGACTAAAACTTGGCCCAACAATACAGTCTGCACATCTCAGTCAAGTCCTATCCCAACAAACACAATGCCATTCTTTGTCCCCGACACATCATTGATTTGAGGCTGTTTAAACATTTGGAGCTGTGGCCTTGTATTGGTATTTTCCTCTTTTCTATGTGCTCCCTCTGCATTAAGGTTATAGATTTAGCCTTTTTTCTGTTTGCACTATTGTTTCTGAAACTTGTCTCTCCTCACAGTGTAAAAAGCACAGGCAAGGCCTTAAAGAAAATGGCAGCAAAGCTTTTCTAGTTGCAAACTTGTGCATTAGCACATTCACCTTTTTCTTCTGCAGCAATTTTCTTATTATCCAAAACTATTATGATTAGCACTCCGAGCATGACAACAGCACAACAAAGAGCATCAAAATAGTAACTGGAATGGCCTTGCTCTTATCAGTTGTACATCATTAAAGAGTATAACAGAGATACAGCTCACCTCTGCAGTAGTTCTATCTCTAACAAATGCTGAATACATTTTCATCTGAAATATTCAGTACTTTTTTAGTTGTGTTTAATTCTCCTTCGAGGTTACATTCAGCTTTTATTTTGTCCCTTTTTTATGACACCTACCGCCACAAGCCACAATGTATACATACACACAAGTATTTTATACCTTGGGAGGAAAGTATTTCCCACTGAAAAGTGTTCCACTGAACATTGTTTACAGAAAGAGATGTTGCTGATGAGTTTTTCAAATGTCACATGTAATTGCTGGAGGACCACAAACAAAATGTGTTATTGCACTGGGGTGTCGGCAGAAGTCTCAGAGGCACATACATCAAAATCTCTGCAAATGTAACTGAATTATCTGCATGGCCGGCTACACACCACCAGGGGTTTGTTGTTAAGTAATTCCGGTGAAGTGACCCTTCATTAACCTCAAGCACTCTGCACACCCTAGGAATGAGGGCAGCTATGGGTTTAAAGCCCTGCTTGATGTGTAATATCTGTCTCTCCACAGGGAGGCACCCAGCAGCTTTCAGAGTGTCTTGCAGAACGTATTGGGTGGAAGTATGTCCGGCTGGGTTCTGCCGTGACGGCCATATGGCAGGTAGAGTACAGTAACAGCTCACTCAGGGATTGATGAGGCGCGACACAGAGATAACAGCTTCCTCAGTGGGGAAACAGGCCGTGTCCTGTGAAGGCACTGTCTGTTCCGCCTGACTGTCTTTCTTATCCACAGCTGAGAGACCAAGAAGGCTGTATGCACCCTAAAGTGCAGAGCTTTACCTCGAAATATTAATATATAAGTCGAGTCAAATTTTATTTATAAAGCCCAAAATCACAAATCACAATTTGCCTCAGGGGACATTCAAAACCGTCTGTCCTTAAACCCTCCATTCGGGTAAGGAAAAATGCACCCCTCCCCCCCCCCAAAAAAATACTGGATGACAAAACTATTAAATTATTTTATTCTACCAAATTCAATTAGTTAGGACACTCCCAGTTGACGCCGTCTATATTTCCTAATACTCAGAAGTAGAGCTGAAACAATTATTTATTAAGACTTTTGGTAATCCATTTGTTGCCATTTGTCATCATTCATCAAGCAAAAATTCCAAGAATTAAGTGATTGCAGCCTCTTAAATAAGTGAGTATTTGGTGCGTTTCTGGTAAATTGAATATACTTGGGTTTTGGAAATGGTGGCACAAAATAAGCAAATGGAAGATGTCACCATGGTGGAGGAATATTTCTCAATATTTTCTAACACATTGTCAGAGCAGATGATTGATCAATCATTGAGTCAATCAATGATGATCAAATGAATCTTCAAATGTGAATATTTTATTCACATTATCTTTTTATATTAGATATTTTATAGGCTAACCAATTAATCACTTACAGCCCTACATTTTAAACACTAAATCATTAAATGACAAGAAAAAGCCATCAAATTAATTAATATTGACAATAATCGCCAATTGCGTATCATTTGCAGGGTCACAAGAGAACTATAGCGTATCCCAGCATGCATTGGGTGACAGGCAGGTCACACCCTTGACATTTTGCCTGTCTATCACAGGCATAACACATATTGACAGACAAACACATTCACACTCACATTCACAGCTATGGGCAACTTAGAGTTTCTAGTTCACCTAAGCTGAACCGGAGCTCCCAGAGGAAAGCCACACAGGCACGGGGAGGGCATGCAAACTTCAAACAGAAAGCCCCCCAGCCGGACAAGTTGGCTTCACACCCAGGACCCTTTCGCCACACGGTGACAGTGCCAGGCACATACAAACCAAAATGAAACCATTATTTTATGAAAATTTAAGTGAAAATAAATAAATTGGCTTTCTTGAGACTTTGAGGAAAGCTTGTTCAGACTTGAGGAGCTGGGACACCTTTAATTTTAAGCTCTGACCCTGAAGAAGCAAAAAAAGCTGAGGGTTGTTTCAGTGGTGCTGGAAGATATGAACTCCTAATTACATAGGGCTTTCACTGTGTTAAGGTTTAAAAAGAAAAGAAGGTCCTAAAGTTACAAGAAGGCCAGTCTAGAGAGCTAAAAATATAATGAATTTAATTCCTAATTTTCAGCATCCAAAAATATCTAGCGGTTTTCCAGTCTCAGAAGATGAGAGCTTTCTATGTTGCACACTGACGTTCTGTGGTGGGTGAGTTTTAATTATCACCAGAGGCTTAAGTTTAGTGGAAATACATGTGAGACCAAGGGAGCTAGCACATAAGAGCTCTGCAACAGCACGACTGTCAGCAGTGATTCAAAAATATAATTTAACCACCTTTAAATGTTATTTTGCTATGTCATTTGCATGAATTACTAGAATATCTCCTTCTTAGATTGTCAGAATTGACAAATATAAAATACAAAACACAATCTAATAGAAATAATCCATTTGACTGATAAAACTATGCCTCAGGTATCATCAGAATCAGAATCAGAATCAGATTTATTGCCAAGTTAGTTTTCACAAACGAGGAATTTGCCTTGGTACATCGGTGCATATAAATCACAATCAAGCATAGAAAAATATAAATAAAGATAAGATCAAAAATAGAGATCATAAAAAAGAGCCACTATATACAAATGTAAAAAGTACAAAATGATTATACTATAATAAATGAGTTAGATTAAGATTAAAAATATTCTAAGGATAAAAGTATCCTCAGAAGATATTTTGTCTGCATATAGAAAAGCAGAATTTGGCTCCAAGAAGGTAGTCATTTTGCATAGTTAGATAATGGGAAAATATGGGCTCAGTGGCTAGAAAGAAGTAGACTCAAGTTAAGTAAAGTTAAATAAAATGTGTGCGTCCTATATTTGAAATTGTGTAGCAGAATAGCAGTCAGCAAATCACACTTATGAACAGCTCCACCGCACCAAAGAGGAAGGTACTAACAGATCTGTACAACTTGCTTATTAAATAAAGCTGTATTTCTGTTTATATGTTTCAACAGGATGCTGAGTGGGCCAGGGTGACGACCGTCACCAACACCTTCTTGTGCAGAGCTGTGATTGTCACCTGCCCCCCACATTTGGCAGGTCAGTGCGTCTCCCGCCTCTGTAGACTCGCTAAATGAAATTCTCACTGATGCAGGAGGCAAATATCCTCCTCTCTCACTATGTCTGTCAAATGTGGCACACTGTGCACCCATGCAGATAAATCTTTGATTTTCCTAAATCTTTTTGGCTCCGGGGTGTGGCAGTCACTTTGGCTGAAGTAAATTCTGTCTGAGGTTGGGCCCTCGGCTGAGGAATTGCCTGGATTGGATTTTGAACCAGAGCAAGAGTTAAGGCCAAAACTTTTAACTGGGGGCTAATGTGACATTTGTTATGGTCGGCGGTGGGAAGTTGAAAGTGACAAACACGTCATTACCAACCTCTCTGTAATCGAGCTACCAAGGAGGGGGAAAATATGGACCCCTGCAGTAAAGTGTTTGCCGGCTGTAAGAAGCAGAAAGTTTTTAATTGAACCATAAAAACATGCCATGTTGAAAATCAAACTTTTTCAATTAACAGCACATATTACTGCAAATCTAACGTGTGGGCAGCCATGTTTTAAAAGTTATTTTGAGTAGAATCCACTTTTTATTTGTTTTTTCCTGGTCAGAAAATAGAAATCCTGCCTTTCTGGAACTGTAAGGTAAACTAGTGGTGACTTGGAGTTGTACCTGATTTAATTTTTGCAGTTTGGCTGGTGCTGTGCAGGACACATAGTGCCGGTTGATGTCGAGGCCGGGAGCTGCGGCTATAGTTTTTGCCGGTTTTGGAAGGGGCCGAAACTGAAGCTTGGGCTTACTCTGGGTCTGTGCCTGTTTGTACTAAGCTGGCAACATATCTGTCACTCAAAGCCTCATACTCAGAGCTATGGACCACGGCCAGGATCCTTAATGAGACAGGTTTGAGAGCGGTGTTGAATTATGCAGCATGGATTGCTCTGGCTCAGATGCCACAGTGCCATGCGCTGGCCTTAAATCAGTGCCAGGAGATTGACAGGAACTTTCAAAGAGCCAAAGTCAGGCCGGTGATTGAGATGTCACCTCTCCCAAAAGGAGTTGGGGATGAATTAAAGAGAGGACTGCTGCTTAAAGTCATCTGTGCGACACGTTTTGTTTTAATTTTGTGGAAGTGGGCAAACCCGAGAAGCTTTCCAGTCAGTGGGGGAGAAAGAAGAGAGCTTAACACTGACAGTGGGAATGATGATAACGACTCTAGACGATTCCAAGCCTCTGTTGGACAGCAGCAGTGTAGAGGATTGTTCACAGGATCCATAGCCTCTCATGTTGGCTCTTCTTTTTCTGTCTGTTTCTGACATTCCTAAATAATTCTCAAGTCACTTGCTCTCATCAATAAATGGGTAGATATGGATGAATGAACAACTAAATTTATACGTTCTGGGTTCCAAGAGGTGCTTTGCCTTAAAAGACACTACCACTACATATACACACACAAACCACAAATGCTGGATATGAGCTCTGTCTTCCCAGAAATATCATGTTTTTCTCTTTCTTGGCTCCTGGATTTATCTCCCCATTCGTCCATCCATCTTTTATAATGAGTTCCGCCAGTTCCCCCCCCCCCCCCTTTTTTT